TCCCCTTTTTGTCAATAAACAATGTTGTTTATCATAAGTGTTGTAATCTTGTTTAGGATCAATAGTACAGAGTGAAATGTAATTCTTTATAGGATATTATATAGAGGACCCCAGAATTAATTGTTGAGTTTAATTCCATTAGTAATGATAATATAGTATTGTTGATTACAATATTTTATTTGACTCGCATGTTATTAGAGCCCACAAACATATTTGTTTAAAAACCAGAAGGAGCCTATGTATAATCAATAATTTTAAATACACGAAATATGACACTTAAATATTTTGGTCAAACATTTTGTAAATCAATACATAAGTAAGGTATTTAAGTGTAAAAAATTCAGAAAATATTTTAATTTTTTATTTTTGTTTTACACATTATCATTCACAAAATGTGGCTTATTCTTGGAAATTAAGTGAAATCCTTCATTTGTGTACTGCACTGTGGATATACTTTTAATACACCATTTTAACATTTGATAAGATGTTAATGATAATTAGTGTCTGAAGCTCTTAATATATATATATATATCATTCATATAGTCACTGTGCAAAATGTTGTCTTTCTTCCAGTTATTGTTTTACAAAAAAAGATCCTCAGAGATTTAACTTGTGAATACATTATTGTTCTTTCAGTTGACATGATAACAAAACCTTGTCTAAACGTTGTACATTTGCTGTTGTGTTAAACTTATATTAAAGTTTTTCTTTGTTACCCATTCAAGCCGTCTCCAAGCATTGTTAGTCTCAAAGTGGGTTACTTGTCATTGAATTTCATATTACTTATTTAACTGCTTGGTGTTGAAAAAAGAAGTATAATCAGTCTTTATAAGTAAATAAAGTTGGGAAAATTTTAATACTGATTAACTTCTTTATGTAGATCACAGAAGATCCAATTGAAAGTTATAAAATGTTTTTCTTTTAGTGCAGAGCAGTCTCTTGCCTCGGCAAGAGCTTCTGTGATGATTTATGATGACCTGAATAAACGATGGATCCACAGTGGTTCATCAAGTGGCCTTTCTAAAGTCCATATCTATAATCATGTTGCCAATAACACGTTCAGAGTGGTGGGACGAAAATTGCAAGATCATGAGGTTTGTACACATTTATAAGAATTTAAAATATTTTTTTTATATGTTTCCTTGAGTTTGATCTCATTGCTGACCCAGGGATATGCAGGCTGACTGAGTATATGTGTGGGGATGTTTTTAGATATTACTCTGACCTCTGGAAGTATCTTGACCTGAGCTGTGTGTGTTAGTTCTAAATCTAGAATGTACTGTGGACCTTGTCCTTTTTTGTAATCTCATGCTATTTTTGATATATCTTACATAAAATATGTCATAGTACGAACTTGAAAAGATTGAATTTGATATTTTTAATGTGGAAAAGAAACATTTCCAGTTATTGTGATTTTTATCAAACATTTTAGGCCTGTTGGTTTCTAATGGCTCACCGGATTTTGACATTTAAACCATAATGTGTTTGTAATGTTTAAATAATGATAAAAAGTTTGATCCTTTTCTGTTTTTAAAACTATGTTGCAATATCTTTTTTTTTTTGGTTTTTGAGATTCTACTTTTTATTACAAATAGTAAAACTGTGTAAGTAACTTTGAGATATTCAGACATCCTGCTGAAGTTTTTTTTTGAGCAGTTTTCTAACTAACTAATTATATTTTCTGAATAAATTATATATTAAAATTTTCACGTAGAGTATTTTGTGACATGGATGGCACAATATGAGTCAGAAAACCAAGTTATGATAATTAAGAAAATAATTATATAGACATGAAACATTTCTTTGTTAAAAAGTTCGGATAGAATTTAAATTTGCCTGTAATTAGTACTAAACATATTGTTAAACTAAATTTGGTAATTATTTCTGTATGGTTTAAAGTAATTAAATTGGCTGTCTTGAATTATATACTCTCAGTTTTTGTTTTAATCTGGTATTTTCCTCCTACTTTATCAAATGTAAAACTAGTGATTGTATCATGCTGATTTGAAATGGAATAAACTGGGCATTCTTTTTCACAGTACCTAGAGCCCAATATGTTTGTTAGATATGGTAAATGACCCAAGAAACTGGGCATCAGTTCTATGTTATTCTTATTCATAGTAACTTGATCAAATATGTTTATGTTAGGTATGGTAAATGACCCAAGAAACCGGGCATCAGTTCTATGTTATTCTTATTCATAGTAACTTGATCCAATATGTTTATGTTAGGTATGGTAAATGACCCAAGAAACTGGGCATCAGTTCTATTTTATTATTTTTCAGAGTAACTTGATCCAATATGTTTATGTTAGATATGGTAAGTGATCCAAGAATTCGGGCATCAGTTCTATGTTATTCTTTATCAGAGTACCTTGAGCCAATATGTTTATGTTAGATATGGTAAATGACCCAAGAAACTGGGCATCAGTTCTATGTTATTCTTTTTCAGAGTAACTTGAACAAATATGTTTCTTAGATATGGTAAATGACCCATGTTGTTGGTTACATTCTTAAAATACAACCAATTTGACTGATAATAACTGACATGTTATATACTACCAAGCAAGTGTAG